ATGATATCCGCTACTTATTTGAGTACATGCAAAAACTACATGAATTGATTGTGTTATTGAAAGAAATGATAGTCTTTTCACTATCTCTTCTTTTTACTCAACTGTATTATTGAAAGAAATGATAGGTTCTGATATGACTCATTTTTAGTCTTTTGGTTAAATTTGGAGTTTCTAGCATTAACTATTGTAGCTAGGACTGTTATGAAGGTTTTTTGTGGCAATGCCTCTTGATAGTCATGCGAAATGTTTGTGATAGTAGTCAGTGGCAGTTTTGAATTGCTACATGAGTTTGAAAGTTTAAATCTTTCGATTGGTTTCTTATCAAAGTCTATTCAGATTTGAGGTAAAGATGTTTATGGTGCTTTTCTAGGTTGGGACTGTCGTAAGCAAAAAGGACTGGAAAGTAAGATGGGTAGTCATTAGGAAGGTTTGAAATTCAAATTGTTGTGGGTGTGTGCAGGCAATTTTTTTTTTTTTTTTTTTTTTGTGTGTGTGTGTGTGTGTGTAGAACATCCATTATGATTTGTCTCTAATTATTACTTGACAATAGCTGATAGTTGGGTTTAGTCGAAACAAACTTATGTGCCTACTTATTTATTTATTATGGGAATCTATCCAAAAAGATTTAAGTGAAGATCATTGCCTGTACATCTCTACATGGCAATAGTTACAAGTCGAAATATATCCAAGTCTACATATTACAATAGTTACAAGTTGACATATATGCAAGTCTGCATAATACAGGCCTTAATAAATAAACCATTACCCTTCATATTACAGGTTTAACAAATACAAGACATAATAGACATTTCATCAAACAGGTGGTGAGTGCCACTAAAATTCAAAATTTGAACATACAAAAGCATAATAATTCTGAATTTCAATAACTAATCAAATGAGTTCAAACATTTTTTTGATTAGCAAAAAGAACGTTTAGTGAAATGGAGGTCTTTCTCAACTTAGGTTTTGCTCAAAACTCTCTAAAATTTCTTCAATGAAAAAGAGATCCAAATTGATGAGTGAGAGGGAAGGCTCCGTTGAAGGAGAGAGAGCCTGCATGTATATGCAAAAATCCCCAATTTTAGTGTCTCTAATCTGTGAACCCACAAAAATCTCTCTAAAAAACTGTGTTTTGATTTATGGGTTTGTTTATTTTGGCTTCTTTAATCTTTGTTAACCTATATATGTATATATGTATATGTATGTATATGTATGTATATCAAAACTAATAATAAGACGGAGATTTAAGAAATGTATAGTTGATACTTGATTCCATTGAAACAAACCCTAAAATGAAATTACCTTTTCTCTAATCATTGATAGCTTAATAGAAACACTATTAGCAAAGGTAGAATGGCAATAGAAAGAGAAGGACAAGCATGGAAAAAGAAACCAATGGAGGCAACATGAAGCCAATAGGGGAATCAGAAGGTAGGCAAAGGTCTCTTACCTCTGACGATGGTGCTATAGTGCGACAATGGTGCTTCGAACGACCTCTGATGCTGGTACTTCGTACGACCTTCAAACGACAATGGTGACTTTTTGTTTCACTTTGCAACGCCTCTCTTCCAGAAGTTAGAGATTTAAGGAAAAAAAACTAATCAATTAGAAGAAATAGGCAAAAGACGATGCCGTTTAACAATTGATTAGAGGGAATCCAATTTTTTTTTAGAGGGAATTAAAAAAAATGTGGACTACATTTACGGCAGTCTTCAAACAACTGCCATAAAAGACTAACCCTTCAACTTCACACAGTTTTTTCATCATTAACACTCACATTTTATCGGCTGTTTTTCATGACCGCCGTGAATACTAAATTTTTAGAGGCGGTATCTTTGCTGCCATTTTAAGTATATTTTTAATGGCAATCTTTTTACCGCCATGAATGAAACCGCCATTAAAGATCAACTTTAGCGTAGTGAGATTCGCTTCTGCTACATTCCTTACACTTGCACACCACCTGTACCATTTTATTTTTTATTTTTTTAATTTATAAATCTGAATAAACTCCGACTAATTCTGACATCTACGTAGAGTGCCCTTCCCATAGTTTATAAATTTCAGACTACTGGCTTCAAAATAATTATGATAACATACAATAGGAGTCAAATCTAAATTCAATTGATCAAAGGATTACAAAATAGCTGCAATTCAGTGTGGCTTTTTACTGTATTTTGCGGCGTTGCTTCACATCATTTTGTCAAACCTATGAACAGTTTGAAACCAGTCCTATGGGCAACTGATACTGTTATGATAATAGCATCCAAAAATAATATTTATAGTAACCATTAATTGTTTGGGTAACCATCCAAAAATCATCACTGTCTTTGTATTTATAAATTAAATTAAGGAAATCGTTAATAGTTTCCACTTAATTACTTTGAACTCTCCATTCTTTTTATTTATTTTTATTATAGTTTTAGCCTAATTTAATTTTTTTCATTTATCTTTTTGAACACCGGGGCGGTAGATAGTGTATATAATTGTAGTTTGTCAGAATATGACAAATAATTATAGTTTTTCATTTATTCTTCTACAGACTTTTTTGTCTTTGTATTTATTTTTGTGGAAACTTTGTATAAGCCTATGCCTAAGCTTGTAGACTTTTGTAGAAAGTAACAAAGTTTTTTGACGTATTGGTGTTGTAAATTTCAACAAATTAGATATGTAACTCTAGGATAGACTTTTTGGATTAAGATAGATTTTTGGTTTTTGTTTGTATATACAAGATGTATTCTATAAATTGACATTCAAGCCAACAAATAGAGTAATGCAAATTCTCATCATGTCTTTGTTACCTACGTTTTTGCCTAACTTCTCTTAAATCCATAACTCCTCCCTCGTGCACCCCTTTTTGACAAGTCTTCCCTACCCTCTTTGAGACTCTCTAGCCCATCCTTGTACCTCCTCCAGCCTCCCTCTCACCCCTCCGCTTCCCTCACAAGCCACGACACCATGAACCACCATCTCTCTCCTAAAAATGACAAATTTTTTTATTAAAATGTATATTTTTTTTTATTAATTTCAGTATCTACTCACTATTTATATTAGTTTTTAACTTTACCAAAAAAATAAATTACTCTAATTATATAATAAAATTTTTAACCTAATTGTATTTTTCTTAAAACTCAAAAGAACTGAGTGTAATTTACCACCAAAAAATTTATTGAGGATTCGTTTGGGATGTGGGTTGGTTTTTGATTTTTTAGCTATTTTAGGCTAGGGCTAAAAGTCTCGTTTGGGATAGGTTTTTTGGCTTTTTTGACTTTTATAAGAGAAAAAATAAAATGATTATGATTTAGATGTGACATTTTGTCTTATTGGGCTAAAAAATTTATTTATCTTTTTGTGACTATTTTAACAAAAAAATTTCATTTTAGCTTATGCCAAACGAAGGCTGAGAAAGAGTTTTCATAGAAATGAGAAATCCCCCAAATTAAAAGGAATAATAAAAATAAAAACACACCAATTTTAACGATTCACCATATATTGCAATAATAGAAACTCAAAAATCCTCTAGCTTTTTTTTTTTTTTTAAAGACAATTCTTCTAGGCCTCGTTTGTTTTCCTCTATCACAGTCCACTCCGGACTATGATAGATGAACAGTGAAGATGGCTCATGTTTGCTTTGGTTTTGAAGCTCCGAATTCGTAGTCCCTTCGGACTACGATAGACCTTGGATTGGGTGTTACTGGACGTCCGGTCGGTTAACCGACCGATCAACTGCAATTTTTTATTTTTATTTATATACTTGTTGGGCATTCTTTTTTAAACATTAATGTTTAATGTTTTTGTATTTTTTGTTAAGTAAAAATTATAATTTTATTTGTTTTATTATTTTATATAAAAATAATTTAACAATCTCCACACTAACAACTATTATCAAAATAAACACAAATTTATTAATTCTTTCACTATCAATCCCCTCACTAACAATTTCCTTATTATTAATCCTTTCACTATCAATCTCCTCTATTCTACCTCTGAAAATAAACTTGACCTCACTTGTAGCGAAATGATCAATAGGGGTGGGCGCAAGTCAGTTGCGGCCACGGAATCTCTAATCTGCCATCCGTCCACCAGATTGGCGAATTAGAGAAAATCAATCCGCATCTGTTCGCTAATTCGGCGGATATGGATTGAGCAAATTGGCGGATTGAAGCGAATCGGTTTGACGGTTTAAAATTTATAAATTTCAACATAATTCAACTTGTGCACTTCCTCAACAACAAAAAAAAAAAGAAAAAAAAGAAAAATAAAAATAAAAAGTATTACAGTTAATGACTTAAAAAAGTATTACAATCACTACATGCCCCATCCACATGTTACAATCACAGCATGCCTCATCTACATAACGTATTACAATATGTGATTCTTCAAATATAAAAACAATTCAAACCACTAAAACCATGAACAGAGCAGTAGTAAAGATTATATGCCTCTGTATTGTTATCTATATTTGTTTTTTAAAACAAAAACCAACCAGCATGGATATCATTTTTTTTATTTATTATTTTTAGAGTTAGATTTAAAAATAAAAAAATATAAATAAATAATACATTTATTTTTTACAATTCAAAAAATATATTCAAGTTGAAAACTCTTTTTCAACATAATATTTAAACTCTTTTTCAATTGAAAACACAAACAGAATATCTAAACAAATTAAAAACACAAATTCTTACAAATTACTAGTGGTGTTCGCGGTTTGGCGGTTCGGTTGCAGTCAAATGACTCTCAAATCCGTCATCCGTCCAAAACTAGGCGAATTGAAAAAAATAATCTGCAACCGTTCACTTGTCATCACGTATCCGTCTAAAATACAGCAGATCGATTCGGTTCGATCGGGTCGAATAGATCGATATATCCGCTGCTCACCCCTAATGATCAACGTCGTATATGTTGCAAAAAAACAACGTTAAAATATTATTAAAAAGTCGTCTGCACGCCAAAGTTAAATATTATTAAAAAGTTATCAGCACGCCATTGCTGACCCATTGATGAAGGCAAACAAGGACACTTTCAGCCTCCCCGCGTTGAACCTTCCACGCCCCCATTCATTCCAATTTCTTGATATTTTTCTTCGAAACACGAACAAGAACCAAAGGCACAATATTTGCATTGGTGCTGCACGCGAATTGGACTACCTTCATACGGGTACTCAACAAAGTTTCATACACCGAGATGTGAAGACTACAAACATTCTGCTTGACGAGAAATGGGTAGCAAAGATTTCGGATTTCGGGTTGTCCAAAGGCACAACAAGCTTTTCAAAAACCTACATTACCACAGCTGTAAAAGGCACGTTTGGGTTTTTAGATCCGGATTATTTCAGGACTCAGAGGCTAACCAAGAAATCTGATGTGTATACGTATGGGGTAGTGATGTTAGAAGTGTTGTGTGGGAGGCCTGTCGTGTATACAAGCCTTGAGGAGGAGCAAATCAGTCTGGTCTTTTGGGCTCGGCATTGCATTGAAACAGGTAGGCTTTCTCAAATCATTGATACCTCTATGAGAGGGCAAATATCGCCAAATGCTCTCAAGTGCTTTGTAGAAATTGCCTACAAATGTTTACATGATCGTCCACAAGAGCGGCCCACAATGGCTGAAGTGGTGGCAGGCCTCGAGTTTGCATTGGCTTCACAACACGGGGCAATAATAGCTAGATGATGATCGTCATCCTCATCCCGCAACCAAAAAGAAACGTCCATCGTTGATGAAGCGGTTTGAGACGCCCATTACTTCTGCAGTGGATCTCTTCCAAGCTTCTTTGCATTCCAATCCTCCTTATAACAACTTCATGTCCAATGATGGTATGTTCACAACCAGAGTAGACCAGAACCGTGCACCACATCATACAAGTTCATCTTCTTATGGAAATAACAGTCGAAACCAGTCCTATACAAGCAATTGATTCTGCTATATATTATAATAGCACTCGAAAACAATATGCTAGCTAGTACCATTGTTTGTAACAAATAGTAGGTGTGAATCATCACTGTCCATGTATATGTTACACTAAGTATGTTTTTGAATGTTGGATTTGACAAGAAATTTGTATATTAAAAAAAATGGAAGAGAAATATCACAAATTTGTTGATGTGTAATTTCTTCATATTGGATGTGTACCAAAGTTTTTTTTTTTTTTTCATAGTAAAGATTGCTTGTTCCTTAATACAAGTCCATTTATGTTTATTAATCCCCTAATTTCTGAATTACTCGGTTTTTTTTTGTTTTTTTTTTTTTTTTTTTTTTTTTTTTTTTTTTTTTTTCATTCATGGTGAAGATTGCTTGTTCCTTAATACAAGTTCATTTATGTTTATTAATCCCCTAATTTCTGAATTACTCGGTAGCCCATAACGTCCAACAGCAAGAAGCAACTAGGAGGAAGAAGCAGTGCAATCACAGATTCACAAATAAATTATGCAAATGCCAAATTGATGCACAGCCAGGAAGCGTTTCTAATCTGATTGTTATTTCAACTTGGACAGTAATTAACAACCTGAAAATTCGGTGGATCACATCTTAACAGAATTTATAGCTCGAATTTTGTCAAGTATGAAACAATTTAGGTAACAACGGCATGCCATGACAGCCATGTTTGTCTCAGTTGATACGCTAAGATGCAACCCTTTATTCAGAAATACTCAAAAGCGAATTAAATCCATAAGTCGGAAGTGCAGTCACGGCCAGGATATCTCATCTCGTGGGCAAGCGAATGCCCATCTGGTTCGGATCCAAACTCCACAAAGAAATTCTGGTTTATTGTAAGACCACCTTTCTCAGTATTGACATCGATCTGTAGCATGTGTGAGCCTTTCTTCATGACATCAGGATAAAACTGATGGTCCCATTGAGTGAAGAGTGAGTTGGTAACATAAAGCCGCTTCCCATCTAAGTTCAACTGGATCATCCGTGGTCCTCTCAACCCTTTTCCCTATAAACGAGACAGACAATCTCATCAATCTTTAACTGTTCAAATATCAAGAGCAAGCCTCAAATTTCTAGTGGGAATGTTCAGATAGCACAAACCTTGATCTCTGGGACGTCGACCTGGTATGTTGTACCATCATCAGCCTCAGCCAATACAGAGCTTCCTTTTTGAATCAGCCCTCCAACCCATGCTTGGCCTGTGAGTCCAGGGTTCTTAGGGTCCTAAATGTTACACTGTCTGATATCACCATGAAGCCAATTCACCATGTAGAGATAGCGATCATCAAGTGATATCAGAAAATCAGTTACAAGTCCAGGCATTTCAGGAATGTTAATGTACACCTAAACCTACTCCACTACACACTCCACTTCACCTACTCCACTACACCACTCCACGTCCACTTCACCTACTCCACTACACACTCCACTTCACCTACTCCACTACACCACTCCACCTCCACTTCACATCTCCTATATAATGTACATACAATACACAATCAGAAATATCAATCAATCAATACATAATTCATTCTCTCTGTATCTCTCTCTATTAATTTATCTTAACATGGTATCAGAGCTAGGTTAAGAACCTAGTATTTTCGTTCCACCGGCGGGCGGCAATCTCGCCTTGGCCGCCCGCCGGACAAACCCAAATTTCCTTAATTTTCTTCAGTAGCATTGACATCTTCTCCATGCCCTCCCCTGGATCTCCACCACTGGCAGAAACCATCTCATGCAGAGCTATTGATTCTTGGGTGAGGTCAGATATTTCCATCAATTGTAATTTTTCAGCCACTCTCCTTATGACAGCTGGACCTTCAGACGCATCATTGTTGTAAAGGGACAAGAGATTCTCATGCAGCTCAACATCGGATGAATCAACCCTTCCTTTGGTTCTTCTGAATTGAGCAAGAACAAGATCAACCTATTCCTTGACTTCATCTGATATGTCAAGTTTTTTCATAAGAAATTCCACCCAGAGCTTGTTCCAAACAAGAAGTCACTTCTTGGAATCTTTTCATAATTTGATCCCTCTCTAGGACCAGAAACTGAGCCTGAAAAAGCCTGACCGTTGTAAAAGACAATGTTGTGACAGTTTACAGGGTCATGCCGGACCGATGTAAAAGCTGACCGGAATCAATGTCGGGACAGTTTATGGGGTCATGCCGGACCGTTGTAAAAGAATTTGGTGGTGCACCAAGGTGGCGACTTAAGGAGTGCGCCATAGGGTGGCTTGGGTGGTTCGCATGGTGTGTAATGCCGGACCGATGTAAAAGCTGACCGGAATCAATGTCGGGACAGTTTACGGGGTCATGCCGGACCGTTGTAAAAGCTGACCGGAATCAATGTCGGGACAGTTTACGGGGTCATGCCGGACTGATGTTGAAGCTGACCGGAATCAATTTCTTTTTTATTATAATATATTTCTCCAACACACTCTCTCTCCTCCTATCTCCCATCACTTTGCTAGACAATGAGCCAATTCTCATTATCATTCTTATTATTTTTTATTATTATCACATGGGCGTGTTCCCCCTCTTTAAAAAAAAAAAAAAAAAAAAAAAAAAAAAAAAAAAAAAAAAAAAAAAAAAAAAAAAAAAAAAAAAAAAAAAACAAAAAAAAACACACCCAAATTTTAACAAAAAAAAAAAAAAAAAAAAAAAAAAAAAAAAACAAACAAACAAACACCCAAAACCACAACCACCACCCACAGGCGGGACTTTTTCCTTATCCCTTCTCTACTCTGCCGCCGGTCTTTTCTTCTTTCCTCCGTCCTGGCCGGCCCTTGACGGTGTTGCCCCCGTGTTTCCCGCGCTGCCGAGCACGTTCCTTCCCTCCTGCTCCTCCACTGCAGCATATGGCGGCCCTCCAAATCGGAACATCACGGTGGCCTTCCGCTTCAGCTCCTTATTTTCCGCCTTTAGCACACTTATCTCTGCTCGTGCATCCTTATACATGTGCTGGAGCAGAGCCAGTTGGGCGTTTAACTGCTGCACCTCATTTGTCCTACTCTGCAGTCGGTGCGACAGGTTTGTGACCGCCGTCATGGTTTCAACACATGACTTCAAAGTATACTGATTCGCCTCAATATCTGATTGCGCTGCCATTCTTTGCTCCACAGACCGCATCGGAAAGGTCAACGGAGCAAACTCAGGGGCGCTTGGTTGAGATTCACGGGCAACCGCACCAGTTATCTCTCTTGTGGACTCGTTGAGGTCGGGAAAAAGAGTGAGCAGACCACGGGAAGAAGAGGCCATGTTCTGGGTAGTTGAACGGGAAGAAGAGGCCATGTTATGGGTTGCTGAGTGTTTCAGAGAAGGGTTGGTTACAGAATGTTTACAGAGTGTTACAGAGTTTCTCTCTCCGCAAACGCAGACTTTTTTTTTCAGAATTTTTTCCTCGCAAGTTGTTTGTCTTCACCTTAGCCTCAGCCTCCGTCTTATAGCCAAGGCAGACACGCAGCGCTCAACGACAAATTGGGCACGCCTTTTGATGGCACGCCTTTTTATGGATTGGGCACGCCTTTTGATGGCACGCCTTTTGAGGGTGCGGGCACACCTTTTGAGGGCACGACTTTTGAGGGCTCGATATATATCTGCATGTATATTTTTTGGGCAGCCTATCTACACACTCATACAGTGTCTTCTACACCGGTCAGCTTTATCAATCCTTTTGTTTCAACCTCAAATAGGTTTCTATCTTCACACCTATTTGAGTTTGAGGGGGGGTTATACATATATCATGGTGAGCATGGTTACACACCATGGGAACCACTCAAGCCACCCCATGGCGCACTCCCTAAGTCGCCTCCTTGGTGCACCACCACAAGCTTTTACAACGGTCCGGCATGACCCCGTAAACTGTCCCGACATTGATTCCGGTCAGCTTCTACAACGGTCCAGCATGACCTTGTAAACTGTCCAGACATTATCTGCTACAACGGTCCGACACGACCATACAGTGTCTTCACCAACAGTCTGACACGACCATACAGTGTCTCTTATCCTATTTTACTTTTATTTGTCAGTTCATTTTCTTATTTTGTTACTCTCTTGAAACTCAAGTTGGTTAGTTCCTATCCTCCTTGAGTTTGAGGGGGGCTGTTAATGTACACCTAAACCTACTCCACTACACACTCCACTTCACCTACTCCACTACACCACTCCACCTCCACTTCACCTACTCCACTACACACTCCACTTCACCTACTCCACTACACCACTCCACCTCCACTTCACATCTCCTATATAATGTACATACAATACACAATCAGAAATATCAATCAATCAATACATAATTCTTTCTCTCTGTATCTCTCTCTATCAATTTATCTTAATAAGGAAGAATCCAGTTTTTCACCTTCAATGGTTTCACTGAGATTGCAAACTGTGATGTAGATGATAGCATCATCAAGATTCTGAATGGATATGGTGCCTTGTGAAACACAATATGAACAAGAAGAGCACTTATATTTACTCACCTCATGGCTCCATGATGCTTCTGGGGTCTTGAAAAATCGCACCATGTTGCTGGTTAAGACACACCCAACAAACCCTGTATCTTTAGATGGGTCATGCAGGAATCTTAGCTGCAAACAAAGTGTTTGACAAATATATAGTGGAATCTATTCAACAAGATGTCTCAATTGCAATAAAAAGAATACAAAAGCCATGAAATTATTTGAGTCTAGAGCCATAAAAGAAAAAGGTAGTAGATGACGTTTTCAACACGCACCT